TGGAGTGACAGGTCTAGAGACTATGGGAGTCTCAGTAGAAGGTGTTACAGGTCTTGATGATTTGGTTTGTTTATGTGAAGAGGAAGAAGTATCAGATCCAGTTTCGAGAGGACCAGGTGTTGAGAGTGTTGATGGCGTTGTAGAATGTTGTGATCCTAGAAACAATAAATATTTTAGGGAGAATATCCTGGATTTACCAAAGTAAAACACAAATATCAGAAAAACAAATACCAGGTTCTTTCCAAAATTCCGTAGAGAACTCTTCATAATATTTTTCTCCAATAAGACTTCTCTTCTTCTTTTTAGTTACTACAGTAGTTGGTGGACCCCCCGCTTCTGCCCCAGATCTCTCATTAGTTGATAGTTGGTTTCTTAAGAGACTCTCAGCTTCCGCCTTAGCTTTCTTATAGACCAGGGTCGTTTATATTTACCAAAAATATCAGATCAGAGTTGGTTAAGTATAAGCAAATGCGTCTCCAACTACTCGATTATCATATTACTTACATAGTATGCTCAAGTTAGAGCTAAGAATTTCTTATTACAATCTTTCCCTGTGAAGTAATTGGTATTATTTGCTCAGTTGATTTCATTCGCAATATCTTCCCAAAAGTTTCTCTTATTACGGTTTGGGGTTCGGTGGTATTCTTCGTTCCCATTTTTACGTTCATCAATAAGCATTCGGGTTTGTTCTTCGCTCCACTGTGCAGACATTTTTAAGTTTATGAGAAAGGAAGAGGTAAAAAGACTCACTTATATAGGGCATGGTTGGAGCTTACTCTGAGTGAAGTAGGGACTGAATAAGATTAAATTAGCTTCGTATACAGTCAGCGCTTTAATTTTCGCAATGATTAATATAATAATTAATCGAAAAAATAAGGGTGGCTTAGTTACTGCGCGTGCAAAATCTGATTGGTTGATCCTCGTGATTTGAGTTACAGAAAGGTTGCGAGGAAGTGTCGGAAACTGTCTGGGAACCAGGTGATACAAATTTTTATGTTATACATCATATCTGGCTAATCCCTGTTAATCCACAAACCGCATGTAAATATAAAAATAGCAATTGAATAAAAAATAAATTTTTATTTATTAGCATGTAGTCTCACAAATCAGCTACAAATCATCTAATCGCTAATCAGTAAATCTGTATAAATTTGAATGATGATATTATCTAGTATAAGTTGTTAAATAATTACTAGAATTTGCTAAAAACGCTATAAATCACTAAAAATCGTTATAATCTAGTAAAACACTATTATGGATTTAGATAGTAAAACATATTCTAAGCTACATCTAGTAAGCTATGGAGATATAAACTTTGGAAAATATAGAAAAATAGTTGATGCAATATGGCCTTTATCACATATACATGATCATAAAACACCAGAAATGTGGTGCTCTCGTATCCGTGATCCATTTAGGAAAATACTTGAAGAGAATCCAAGAATCCTTTCT